TGTGGTCAAAGCTTGTTTACTTAACGAGCATTTAACGAGCCAACACGAGTCGAGGTCGAGCTATGTGGTTCATTTATCACCCCTAACCAAAAAGGGGAGTGGTCCAAGATGGTCGCTAAGGCAAGAGGGAATGAAACTTAAGTAAAAACACATTTTTTTTTTTGTTTCCTCGAATTCTGAAATTGTGGCCATTTTTTTTTAGAGTGAAAACAATTACCAAATGTTTTTTTATTCCAATTTTCAAATTGTTATAAATCTAAAACAAAACTAGTAATAATTGTAAAAATAAAAACCTCACCAAACCCAATTAAAAAATTTGTGAAGTTACCAACTCAGAGTTAGGAGGTCAAATAACAGGGCTCCCAATCTACTAAGAAAACAAAATTGTAATAGAGAAAAGAAAAAATAAAAAAAGAAAAATTTGATCCCAATATGAATACAACAAATCAAGTACCAAGAGCACATGAAATAAATACATAACAAGCATTCTAAATGCGGTGGTGATCCAATATGGTTAAAGCTCTCTCCTTTTTCATGATAGATAATTTTCTTCCACATAGCCACATTTTGTATTCACAATCCCAACCCAACCTCTGGTATGTGTGCAATTTTCCAATAGTTCCCATCTTCTAAGTCTCTGTTCGGGCTCGAACTCAATCCATTAGACATATAAACCAAATAAAGAGACTTGAGGTTGTTTTGTCATCAAAAGACCACTTGGGAAATGTATTGGTACTGGCAGCTCTTGAGATTAACTGACAATCTCTTGGACCAAATCTAGTCCAGTTAGTTTGATCCTAACCAGCAAGCCATTGAATTTAGATGTTGGTCTGGATGGAGTGATATACAATAACTAATATCATCATTAAAATAGATGAAATGTTTACTGTCTTTATTTGTTTAAATTTTTTATTTGGCATTGGACTGCTGTTGAGGGCCTTGACCTTCCTGAAATTCTTGTAGAAGCTGAAAGGCGTAGGTCATCTTTGGATGAATTGTTGACAATTCCCGAGCAGGAAGATTGGATATACAGTGATGGGAAGTCCACATCATGTGTTGTTTTCATTCTGGAAATGTACAAGGAAGCAGGGTTGCTTGATCCAATTGCAAACTCCATTCAAGTTACATAGTTTACGGTGAGTTTGTTGTGAATATTCAATTTCATTAATTTAAATAACAAAGTCTCAAATTTGCATCCAATTAATGTTTCACGATCAATACAATGGTTTTTTTTCCATATATTTATAATATTATATATTGAATTGGCTTATATTAAATCCAGTATTCAGATGGTTTAAACTATGTTATTGTATTTGCATGAGGTTGGAAGATCTCACTACTGCACCCTCACATTTCATCTAAGTTTGCATTGAATGATTGTTGACAAATTTTTCCTCAATAAAACTATTATTGTCTGCATGTGCACTGCTTTGTACTTATTTATGTACAAAAAATAAAAGAATGTTAGTTTATTTTAGGGTAAATTATACAAATGGTCCCTAAAGTATACCCTTGATTTCATTTTGGTCCCTAATCTTTAATTTGATTCAATTGCATCCCTATACTCAACATATTAATCCAGTGTAGTCCCTTTCTTAATAGTTGTCTGAAAAACGTACTAAAAATGCTTATGTCAATCTCATGTCAAGCATTTGAAGGGCATAAAACAACATTTTGACACATCTATTTATACCAAATACTATATCATTCAAAGAGCCAAACACCCTATGTATTTGACTTTCAGTAATTAAATGAAAGTCTTGGATGCGTTTTATTTTGTAAATAATGTTCATTTCACGTGTCTCGTGATTCATTTAGGTGGAAAATGAGAAATTTCTTGTAATGCTCTCCAAATGCCTTATGTGAAGCTGACACAAGCATTTTTCGTAATTTTTTTAGACAATAGTTAGGATAGGGGACTACATTAAATCAATGTGTAAAGTTTAGGAATGTAATTGATACAAATTAAAAGCTATAGACCAAAATGAAATCAATGGTATACTTTAGGAACTATTTATGTAATTTACCCTTTATTTTTACTATCATGAAAATTAACTTGAACTGTATGGATAAATATGGATGTTCAATTGAAATTGATTGTTTAGTGGATGTAAAACACAGGTCAGGTATTTTACATATTATTTTGCTTTGTTAATTTGTCTTGTCCAAACTATTAATAAAAGATGTTTTCACTCTCAAGTTCTTTGAAAACAATTCAAGCCGCATGCCAAAGTGGTGCAATGGCGCAGACACCGTGAAGCTCCCTTGTTGCCAAATTTGAGGGAAGTATCGAATGGAACTACCCGGATATGATGGATCCATACCCGCTTATGAATGAAAGGTGCCCATCTTTTCCCCCAAAATACTCTAGGCCTAAGGGTTGCTGAAAAGTCTGCTGATATGTTTATCCTGTTTCGGAGTTTTTATACCACAATTTTGTATAATTCTAGGTGGTTGTATGATTTATTTTTCTGTATACAACTTTTCTGATGTAAAGACTTGAAAGATTCCAAAAGATTAGTTAATGTAAGTTTGATATTGTTTGTAAATTTGCTACCACAATATGCAGAGAGAGTAAAGGTAATTTCATTGTTACTGCATAGTTTTACTTTTGAAGATCCTAATTCAAAAATCTAGATGATTGAATAAGGTTTGATTTCGATGGAATTGCTATTCTTTTTCAAAGATCAATAAATTTTGGAAGGCATCCTACAAAAACTATCAAGTTAGATCTAATCTGTGTAACTGTTTGATGAGCCATCAGGATTGATTTTTGTAGTTCCATAAATCGGTTCCACGGTTGATATTGAGGTGCTTCTCCTTCCATTAGTTGTTCTATTGCATCATGTTAGGTTTTATTTCTTGGCAATCCCGTTTGACAAAACTCCTTTGAGTTGTAATTTTATTCGCATTTTTATTTCAGTAAGACTTTGAGTGTTTAGATGCGAAATTCTTCTTAGTGGATTGTTCTTGTGGCTGTTGCCCGTGGTTTTTTTATCACAGTTGGAGGTGTCCAATTGTGGTTTTTTCCACGTTAAATCACTGTGTCTCTTTGTCTTGTTTGTTTGATTGGGATTGTTATATTCTGCTTAAAATTGATACATAATCACAAATCAACATCTAGGGGATTTCTAGATTTTTCACATCATGTTGCTCAATCGATTGGGTAGAATAAACTCTTGTTGTGTCAATCATGTAATGTCTACAAAGTGAAAAATCAACTAAAGAGCTTTAATTACAGGAAACTTGCCTTCAAGCCTACACCCTTAGCCAAGTCATCATTCCTCCGACTCTAACTACTACGTATATTGAGTTTGAACATTGAATCATATGGTCATGAATCAAAATTTTTAACTAATTGCAAATATTATACTCATTCGTTTGAGTTTTATAAAGTTTGAAAATAAGTCTCCAAATGCTTTTTGCAGCCCTACAAAATTCAAGAAGTGATAATCCTAAGAATATTCATTTTGAGATTTGAAAATTTTGTGCCAATTTAAATTAAAATGATTAGAAACCCAATATTTAAAGTAGTGTTTACGAACTTGTGGTTTTTTTTTCCTTCCCCCTATGTACAAAGAACATAAAATATATTTATTTTTTATTCTTTTTATTTTATTTTTGTAAAAACTACAATAAATAGCACATAAAATATGTATATATACATGTTCTCAATAACATAAAAAATCAAAGAGTAGTGCTACTTTAATAAAAAAAAAAGTTAGACTTATTTTTCAAGCGTAACGATGTAGCACTCTATTAAAATATTGATAAATTATAAATACACACCTCTTGAGATTTGCTTAATATATATTGCCATCTGTAATTCTAAAAATTACATCTCGCCTCTTTAAGTTTTTAATTACATAACAAATAACTCATTTTATTAATAAATAATCAAGTAAATTAATTATTTTTAATAATGTCATAAATATATTTTAATTAACAATTCAAATAATTGTATTGTTATATATAGGAGAATAATTAAAATTTTCATCTTTTAGTTAATAATGTTAAATAAAAAATTTTGATAATGAGATATTCGTAATTTTCAAAATTATAAAGGACAATCTATATTTTAAGTAAACCTTAAGAGGTGTATTTGTAATTACCTTAAAATATTTAAGTCAACTCTCTTTCTAATATTTTCTATAATCATCAACCATTCATTGTTTTTACATTATACATCAACGGGTTTAGAAAATGAGTTTATAAAATAGATTTGTATATCATTTTTCAAAATGAAAACAAGTATAGTAAATTACCAAAGGGCGGGTGGTCGAAGGTGAAGGGTGAGGGTGGTAGGAAAAAATGAAACTTGTTTTAAAAATAAGTAAAATCATAATTTTCTTATTTTCAGTTATTCTAAGAACTGTAGCCAGATTTTTTTGAAAGTAAAAACAATTAGCAAATGTGTTTTTTATTCCGATTTCAAAAAATCTAAAGCTAAAGAAAAATAAATAAAATAAAAATCTCACCATGCAAAAATTTGTGAAGTTAGCAAACGGGTTTTTTTAAAGTGAAAACAATTAACAAATGTGTTTTTTATTTCAATTTCAAAAAATCTAAAGCTAAAGAAAAATTTTAAAAATTAAAAAAAACTCACCAAATGAATCCTAAGATTTACAATCCTAATTAAAAAATTTGTGAAGTTACCAACTCTCTAGGATCAAAATTAGGAGGTCAAATAACAAGCTCTCGGACTATTATAAAAACAAAAATATAATAGAGAAAAGAAAAAAAAAAAGAGAAAAATTTGATCCCAATATAAATACAACAAATCAAGTACCAAGAGCACATGAAAATAAATAAGTACATAATAAACATTCTAAATGTGGTGGTGATTCAATATGGTTAGAGCTCTCTCCTCCCTCACTAACTATAGATAATTTCCTTTGAAATAGCCAAGTTTTGTGTCCCCAATCCAAACTTTTTGAATGTGTGCAATTTTCCCATTTTTCCCACGCTCCAAGTCTCTGTTCAGATTTGAAATCAATCTATCAGACATCATTCAAATTAAGAGATTTAAGGTTGGTTAGATGTTCAATACCAAAGGGTAACTCCTCTACCAATTCACATTCATCCATAGTTAACTCTTCAAGACGAGGCATCGAGCCAGCCTCCACTTTCACCCATCTCAATCCTTTTAATCCACCAAGGTATAATCTCACAAGTCTTTGAAATCCACCAGCCTTGAAACACAATTCTTCCCCTTCATGTGTCTGAAAAAGTTGAAGTTCAACCAAATTGGGCAAACCTTGAAGGGATTCTAGCAAATCAACGTCCCTTAACTTACTCCATCGTAACGTTACTCTTACCAAGCTGTGCAGTGAAGGTATCCAATGCAGTACCTTACGTAAACTTCCTTCTAGGCAGAGCGTTCGAAGAAGTTGAGGTGGTGAAGACAGAGAATCTAGATCAATGATCTCGTCTTCTCCTGTTGCACGAACAATCAATGAGTGAAGGTTACTAAGCTTCTCAAGGGGCGAGCATAACACCCTCCCATCTTCATTTCTCAGTTTTTCAATCTGTAATTTCCTCAGTTGAGTCAACTTGCCTACCTCTCCTAGCAAAATGGTCCCATTATCATGGTTTGCTTCAATAGAACAAAGTTTCTGTAAGGATGACAAGCTTCCTATTTCTGTCGGGGCTTTGAATCCGCAATGGTGTTGAAAACGAAATAGACCCTCCACTGGTATGTAGCGATACAACAAGATATGGCGAAGTCGTTGGAGCTTGAGGATATCATCAGGCAACTCAGTGACATACGTTTGTTTAAGGTCCAATGTTTCCAGGTTTTGGAGCTTTCCAATCGACTTTGGTATTATTTTTACCTTGGTTGCCCTCAAACTTAAATACCTGAGTTGAAGTAGTTTCAAAACTTCATTTGGGAATGTCTCCAACAAGGCACCTCTCAAGTCTAGCACGGTTAGCAGCCATAGACCATCATTTGACGATGCGAGAATGGACAAATTGGACAGTGAATCTGTTGCATTGAACATAAGCAAAGAACAAAGTCGAGTGAAACACTTGCTTTGTTGTGTAATTTCCAAATGATTGTTGATTGATAAGCGCCGCACCTTTTTGGGCCAGGCTTTGCTTTGTTCACCGGCTAGTGTCACGATGTTTTGCTCTCTTGACTTCAAAACAATAATTTCACGCCAAAGGTCATGGATGCGATACGTTTTGACCCTTCCACCTGATCTCATCTCTGCCACTTGAACTAAGCTTCTATTGATCAACTCATTGAGGTAGCCCTCGGCAACTTCTTCTACCGTCATTCCTACAGTCCTTCTGCTACCCATAACCGAATCAATCTCCAATGGTCAATCAAACAATCCTCTGGAAAAACGCTTAGATAGAGAAAGCAGAACTTCAGATAATAAGGTAAATCAATGTAACTGAGGGACAATATTTTCTTCATGCTTAGGAGTTTGTCATTTCCTTGTAGTTTTGCACCAAGGCTGCGGTAGATCTTATCCCACTCATCCACACTGCTCTTATCCTTTGTTGATAAAAGACCACTAATTGCCACAATTGCAAGCGGCAATCCCTCGCATCTATTCAAGATGGCTTTTGAAAGTCCTTCCAAATGTGAGGGGCAAGAATTCTCCATAAATGTTTTCCTGCAAAACAATGTCCAGGACTCTTCGGGAGTCAAGGGCTGAAGATTATAGACACCGCCATGATATTCTGCACTAGCGAAAGAAGCTAAATCTGCATTTCTGGTTGTGAGCACTACTCGACTGCCACAATTGCCTCTAGGAAACACATGTCTAAAAGATTGCCACGCTTGAATATCCCATAAATCATCGAAAACAAGCACATACCGCTTCTGTTGCAGGAAAGCATTAATTATCCCTTTTAAGCTGTTGGTATCCATGTTGTCCATCCTTGTGGGACTGGTTGCTTGATTTCTTCAAAAAGTTGTTTGATGATGCCTTTTAGGAGCACCTCAATCTTGAAGGATTCAGAAACAGTGATCCAAACATGGCTCTGGAAATGATTCTTCATAACTGCATCATCAAACACCTTTTTAACCATTGTTGTTTTGCCCAATCCGCCCATTCCTGATATGGAGAGCACCTGGAGTCCGGGGTCTTCATGCACCAACCACCAAATCAGTACCGATTTGGGTTCATCAATGCCCACAAGCTCAGATTCATCGAGTAGAAGGGCATCGCTGCGACAATCATGCCATGCTCTGTTAAAACCAGTGGCCCTTGAGCTTGAGCCTTGCTCTAACGTACCATATATGTCATGGTACCTCTGATGTCCCTTGGAAATATCGTCGACTCTGGACTTCATTCTTTGAACTTCATAACCAATTTGGTGACGAGCTATTAAAGTCTTAATACAGCAAGAAACCTTACGAAGAAAACCGCGAAATCCAGCGCCATGACGATGTCCGAGGCGAAGCATGAACAACTCGAGAACATCTCCGATGTCGTACGCAGCTTCTTGGACTTGCTTGACCCATACTTTGAGTTCGGGATCGTTCTCTTCCATAGCATCGGCAACTCTGAGGAAAGCTGTCATGCGCTCGAATTCATCGCTGATGTATTGGATTTCATCTCGAACTCCGGTCAACAAATTGGCCTCTTGTTGGAGGAAGGGTGCGAAGTTGGCTAGTAGATGGATCACAGCACTCTTAGCCATTTTTTTTTTTAAATGTGTTTTGTTGTAGAGGAGTAGCCTTTAGTTGGTTGGGTTTGAAGGGAGGAGGAAGATGAAAAATTAATAATGGTGGTCTGAACTCTGAACTGAGTTTGTGATTAAAGGTGAGTAGTGAGTTTGAAAATTGGGGATTTGTAATGCTCAAATTTCAATTGCGATTTCAGTGATGTGAGTACGCGTTACGCGGATTGAACGATTAGAAAAGTTGTACATAATTTGAAATCTCCTTTTTCTTTCACATGAACGTGTTTCGTAACTCACATGGACCCATCATGCTTAAGGAAAAGACGAGAGAAGAGAACGTGTTTGGTTCACATGGACCACGCTTCTTGCTTAGGAAAAATAAAAGAAGATAAAAGGATAGAGAACGGGGGGTGGAGGACGTCCCCCACTTGTGTTGTGTGGAAGCAGCTATCAATCTCTCCCTATCTAAAATAAATTTAAAAATCCGAATTTGGTCACTATTTTTTCTGTTTTAATTATATATTAGCAATTTCATCTATTTAATTTTCAAAATTTTTAATTTTAATTCATGTAGTTCAGTTGGAAACAATTGTACAATAATATTTGATTTGATAAACAAATAGATTATTTTAAAATTTGAACAATTTAAATTGTATAACACAGTACTCATTTTTCTTTCTAAATATAAACTCCGTGATGTGGTGCAATTAGGTGCATAGGAAAACTAGTGTATGCCCGTGCCTAAAGGCACGGTGCAAATAATGATGAGATCAAAATGTAATTAAATATAAAATTATTGGGTTAAAAGGTAATTTATCCCATTTGTTACTAAAAATTTGAAGTCAAAATATGAATGAAGGTCTGGTTAGTTTTGAAAAGATTTTTTATTAAAAAAGTTTGAAAATATTTTTGATTGTATATTTTGAAAATAAATATTTCCCAATCAACCATTTAGAGTGCGGCAAGTAACGCAATCATAAACATTTCATTTTTATTAAAAAAAATTTATGACTCTAAAGTATAAACTTCATATCAATGCAAACATTAAAAATAAAAGCACCCTTGCTATGCAAGTTAATAAAAAATTGTAAAGACAAAACAAAACATACAAACCAAGGTATTGTACATTTGTTAACACTCTATAATTCAAAAAAAATTACACCAAACAATGCACCCCAGCCAGTATTTTGTAATTCAAAAAAAAAATAATCCAAGTACCTACTAATCTGTGTATTTTTTCCCAATGCAAGAGTCTAGGCTACTCCTACACTCTTCTAACTCATTGAGAGTATTGTTCAATGGAAACCAAAAAAGGAATGTGAGACATGTATTTCATAGAAAAGAAAAGTTACATGACTGACCAAATATTTAAAAAAAACGTTATAATTTTACCTTATTTATTTTTATGCCTACACATCATGACTAAACAATGGATAAGAATTTTTTTGTAAACCGACAAATAATTAAATTCAAATTTATAAAATGAGTATGAAAACAAAAAATCAAAAAGACGGAAAAAAAAAAACGAAAGACTTATTTTTAATATAAACCTTTTAGAAGATTTTTTTTCAATTTTTTGTTTTGTTTGTTTTTATTTTTATTTTTTAGATCTAATAGATTGACTTGAAAAGTAAATTTTTTCTACGCATTTTTTTTTTTAAATACTAAAAGGAAAAACTTTATTTTTTTTTTTTTTGCTAGTCCCAAACTCACCAAGAATGGATCTACATTTTGCCTCACACCTTTTGGATAACTACATTTAGAGAGTTCTAAAAGCTAGGCAAACTAATTTCATGAGTAGCAATTGTTGTTGGAGTACACATATTAGGTAAAGTTGTGAGATAAAATTTAAAAGTAAAATTATTTAGATTTTGGAGGGGCTAGAGTAAAATTATTTATATTTTGAAAGGGCCAAAATGCAAACTTCGTTTATAAATATTCAAAATTACACATTACACACCATGAATAAAATTTCAGTTAGTTAATATTCAGAATTAAAATTTTAATTGATTATAAGCACTGGTAGAGTTATAGGGTGTGAAAAAAATAATAGGCAAAGTTATTCTGTTGAATCAATATAATCTAAATTTCTCTTCCAACCCCAAAATCACCTATCAAAAAGAAAAATTCCAATAAAAAGAAGCTCAATAAATAAACTTCTAAAATTGTGGGGGGAAAAAAAGGCTTACTTGTTAAATGGGCCGTTGTGCCATTGCTCCCCATTTCTTGAAACATTCACTAATAGAACCACACAACACTTCTATTCATTGTCTAACTTGAATTTTTCAAGTCTAATCAAAACAAACTAAAACATCTTATTTTTGAAAAACAATAAAATCAAACATAAATGCATTCTAAACAATGCTAATTTTTAAAATTACAATAAAAATTATCACAATAATTATCATCAAAATAGTATGAAATTCAAAAAAAATCAAGTGCTCGCTCTTCTTGGTTCTCGCTTCTCTACCGTCTCTAAACAAAAAACATAAACTGTAACAAATAAAATGAAGCCTAGCTAGGAAAAATTTAAGATTCTTAATTTTCACATGTAAAATGAAACCAAGTTAAACAATAGATAAGCAACAAATTATTGACAAAGGAAGGCAGACCAATTACCTAATCAACCATTGTAGCAAACAAAGCCATAACAACTTTTTATGAGCTTGTCAAACACACCTTCAAGCCAAGGCATATGTACCTGAAGCAAAAGGAAGAATATAATTTTGAACAAATATAACCCATTTTGGTAAAATCAAAATCAAATGGGTTAATATATTTGAACAAATAAACCCAAATATATTATCTCAAATATATTATCTGGAATTAATATATAGAATGGGTTTATCAAATATAGAATGGAATCAAAATGGGTTTATCAAAATGGGTTTGAACAAAATGGAATTAATTCCATTCTATATATAAACCCATTTTGATAATATATAGAATGATAAACCCATTTTGATTTGTTCAAATATGTTATCTGGAATTTGGGTTTCACGAATCTGAACTGGGTTAATTTTGAACAAATATAACCCATTTTGGTAAAATCAAAATCAAATGGGTTAATATATTTGAACAAATAAACCCAAATATATTATCTCAAATATATTATCTGGAATTAATATATAGAATGGGTTTATCAAATATAGAATGGAATCAAAATGGGTTTATCAAAATGGGTTTGAACAAAATGGAATTAATTCCATTCTATATATAAACCCATTTTGATAATATATAGAATGATAAACCCATTTTGATTTGTTCAAATATGTTATCTGGAATTTGGGTTTCACGAATCTGAACTGGGTTAATTTTGAACAAATATAACCCATTTTGGTAAAATCAAAATCAAATGGGTTAATATATTTGAACAAATAAACCCAAATATATTATCTCAAATATATTATCTGGAATTAATATATAGAATGGGTTTATCAAATATAGAATGGAATCAAAATGGGTTTATCAAAATGGGTTTGAACAAAATGGAATTAATTCCATTCTATATATAAACCCATTTTGATAATATATAGAATGATAAACCCATTTTGATTTGTTCAAATATGTTATCTGGAATTTGGGTTTCACGAATCTGAACTGGGTTAATTTTGAACAAATATAACCCATTTTGGGTTTGAACAAATATAACCCAGTTTGATTTGTTATCGAACATTTTGATTTTGATTTTGGAATTTGATAGTAAATGGGTTAATTTGATTTTGGGTTTATTAACCCATTTTAGTGCCTACGAATTTGATATTAAAAATTTTGGAGAACCTCATGAGGAATGAACAAATATAGTCAAGATTTTGAAGAACCTCACCGATTTGCTATGTATGTTGCCGATCTGCTAGTATGTCGCCGATTTGCTGGTTTGTCGCCGATCTGCTAAACATTCGAACTAAACAGACACAAATTTAAAATCTCCATTGCCACGAAAAATTATTTCCGCCAAACATGTTTTCGAACTAAAAAATTACTTAAAAAATTACAATCCACCAAACATGTTTTTGAACTAACTGACGCATAGATAATTATACATAAGCAAAAGCATATATACAAAGTGAGCCGAGAGAGAGAGAGAGAGAGAGATTAGAACCTTGAATCATATCCTTTGATTCGTTAATATTATTCTACACAAATAATCACACAAAAAATCAAAATTCAAGAAAAATACAAAAAGAGATGAAGATAAAAAGTAGGTATTCGGGATTAAATATGAATATAAAGAAGAATAAGAACCTCGGCATCGAGGGGATTTTTGGTGTAGGAGGCTTCGGCGGCCTTGCGAGCGTGTTCGAAGAAGAGGATGCAATCCATTGTTGTCGTCGACGAATACAAAGGTTAGATTTGTCTCTCGCACAGACGCAGCACCGCCAAGGCCTTTCTTTTGTTGAAGAGAATACCAAGAGTAGGGCTTTCTGCGAAGGAGAGTGAAATAGCTATCTGCTATCTGAAGAGAGAGAGAGAAGAAGAAGAAACCCTATTGTAAACTCACTGTAGGATTGAATCACCATTGTAAATCCACCATTGAAATATAATTTGTTTGTTGGACATTTTTTAGCTGTTGGATTGTTATATAGATATATATATATATACCCTCTTCAATATTGTTATAAAATTCATCATTAAATCTCATTATTTGAAATCCTCATCAATCCAAACCAACTCTTAGTTCAATTAAAATTTCTTACTTCCTTCAAAAATTTCCTTTCTAGTTGAATGAAAATGTTGTTTCTTTTATTCTTGTGTTCTTCAAAAACCAATATTTCCAAAAGTTAACAATCTTTTTTTTTTCTTCACAAAACCATGATTCATTCCAAACAAAGAGTGAAATTGAACTGTAGTGTATATATATCTCTTTCAAGAATTTAGCATAATTGCTAAGAAGCAGAGCATACTCCTCCGTGATGTTATTCCCATGATTTGAATCCCAATACCCAGAACTCCCATCCCCATCACCACCGCCCGATCCTCCTCCTCCTCCTCCTCCTCCTCCTCCTCTACCACCACCA